TCTCTCTCTCTCTCTCTCTCTCTCTCTCTCTCTCTCTCTCTCTCTCTCTTTCTTTCTTTCTTTCTTTCTTTCTTTCTTTCTTTCTTTCATACAGTGTATCTATGTAGCACTGGATGTCCTAGAACTCACTTGATGACTAGGTTGGCCTCAAATTCAGAGATCCTTCTGGCTCTGCCTCCTAAGTGCTGGGATTAAAGGTGTGCACCACCACTGCCTGGCTCCTGGTTTTCTTTCAATCATTCATAACTTTATCTCTCACATGGAAGCAATAATATATTTTTAATATGCTTTAATTCCTCACTTTGATATAACCACATGTGAAAACACACACAACATCACCCCACCTGGCCAATGTATATACAATATACATCCCCCCCGGATTTTGCCTCATATATTTTTATGGTCGTATTATACATCCTCATTCACAGAGACAATGGATAGAAACTGCAGTGTGATTCCAGATTTCCCCCCCTGCTTTTATCTTCTCCGCAAGTTTTCAAACTCCTGGTACCAGAAAAAAACAAAAGCTTTACAGACTAGCATCTCTCTCAACAGCCCCTATCCTGACCCCAGGGTCACAGTGTTATAGTGTCACGGAGTCCTTGGGCATTCTGAGGAAGCATCACCCCTTGCTACTACTAGGACATGGAGGGGGACTTCTGGGGGCATCCCTCCTGGGCAGTCAGTCCCGGATCTGTGTGTCTTGGCTGGGTTATTTTGAGAAGTAGCCGAGTTATGATGATGAGGCCTCAGGCTGAAATCGAAAGGTGCAGAGTCAAAACCACGAGTTATAACTCCCAAGGATGCAGAGTCCGGGCGTGAGTCAGGCTCTGCGGCTCAGGCCCTTTGACTCCAGTTACTACTGTTGTTTGTGGGCAGCGCTTGTGGAAGCCTTTGGAGGGGGAGCGCCTTTCCCCATTGCTCTGCTTTATTCCCTCGAGACAGAGTCTCTCACTGAGCCTGGGGGTTGCCACTTTTCAGCTAGACAGGCTGGTCAGCAAGACTCTGAGAGTCCCCTGTTCTCTGCTGCCCCACCTGTGGAGTCCCCGGCAGGGGTGGCTTTTATGTGGGTGCTGGGATCCAAACCCAGCTTTTGCAGCGAGCTCTCTTACCCATAGAGACCTCACCCCAGCCTTATGGTCATTATATCTAGTTAACACACCTAAACTGTATAAGTAATAGATTTTCATTAGGACATTTTCACTGCGAATATTCATAAGCATAACGCACTTTGATCATTTTCAATTACCTTCTGCACGCCCCGCCTCCACTGCCCTCTCTCATCTCCCCAGGGCCCCCTCCATGGGTTTTGCTCATTACAAAGACGACTCAGGACCATGTCTTCATTTTGGATGTGGCACTGGAAATGTTTAGTAATCCGCCCCCCTCCCCCCCCCCCCCCCCCCCCCCCCAACTCTCTTTTTGGTTGTTTGAGCCAGGGACTCTCTCCATAGCCCAGGCTTGCGTCTCCACTGCCGGGGCAGGGATGCTGCCTGAATCAGTGCACTTTTTAGGTTAAACCTCCACGTTAGTTTGGCACAGATACTCCCCTCCATCTCTTTCACAGATAGGGAACCCAGAGCCAAAGGAAATTCCTTTTGCATATTGAGGTTCACAAAGCTGGTCCTGGGGGAGCTAGGCTTAGCACCCCAGCTCCACGCTACCATTCGCTCCCTGCTTCCGATGACATAAAGCGGGTTCTCATCTCAGACTGTGTTACCAGTGGCACATGGGGCAAAGGTCACCGCACACAGTAAACCAAGTCGGCCACCATGCCCTCCCCTCCTTTATCACGCAGACTTCTAGTAGGAACTGTTTTCAGAAACTGAAGTTCAGGATGGCACAACGGCATTCCGTCAAGGACTGGCCCACCGCTGCCAACCGTTTTCAAAGGTTTTTGGGGTCTGCAGAGCCCCTGAAGAATTTTGGCTTGAAGTATTTTTCTCCTTCGTTTCTGAATCCAATGGTAGATTAGGCGAAATGGAATCCGTATGGTTCTGATTCATTTACACTTAACTCATCAAAATGTTCCTTTTTATGAGCCATTTGATGTCCAGAGAGCCTTTTGAGTAGATTTTATAAGCCTTTTAAAGACTTTTCTCTTAGAAACAGGCGGTTGCATTTTGCCAAGAATAAACAAACTTGAACCTCAGAAGTGCATCGCTTGCCAAGGATCCCGGGGCCAGAGGACAAGCTTACTAAGGCACCCCATCCTCCCTCCCCGTCCCGTCTCTCCCCCCCCTCCCCACAACCTCCTGTTCTGGGCCCCTCTTCCCTGCATGGTCTCTTTGCAGAGGTCATTATTCCCTTTGTAAACTTTGACACTTCCCCCAACACTCCCCGGTGGAGTTACTCTCCTCCGCAGGGAGAGCCATCCAGTGCTCCCCCTGTAGCTCTGTGTCCTGCCTGGGAATACATGACTGGGAAAGAGATGCAGGCAGAGTCCTCCTGGCTGGAGCAGAACACGCTCACCTGGTAGTGTACAGAAGCTCCCACAGTCCCTTGTGACTTATACATGATCCCGCAGGCAAGAGACTCTGGTCCTGGTGTTCTGTTTTGGGAAACTGAGGCTGGAGGCTCTATGTGATCGCCTCAGGCTGTCTTGCTCAATGATTGGGAATTCCAGTGACATCTGATTCGCTTTCCTTTTCTTATGTGGGTTCCTAAGAATGACCCAGAAGGCCACCTATGGAGACTCATTTTGGGCTAAGATATTTCGCCTAAAGGAAAACTTGGAAACCAAATCAAGATTGAATATGTGATTCCCAGCTTAATCATTGAGGCTCAGTTAGTGATATTTTCAGTGGAAAGCTGAGCTGAGAACCTAAAATCATTTACACTCAGCTGCCAGTTAGGCCACTGAAGCCAGGCATGGGATGTGAGAAAGGTGTGTGTGTGTGTGTGTGTGTGTGTGTGTGTGTGTGTGTGTGTGTGTGGTTGGGGGTAGGTAGAGCACTAGCTTAGCTTGCATGAGGCCTTGGGTTACTCCCCCAGCACAGCATAGAATGGTGTGGTGGCTCGGACCT